TTTCATTTGGCCTTTTCTGAAATACATTTGGCCCTTTCTGAAATACATTTGAGCTTTTCTGAAATGTATTTGAGCCACGCCCCCTTGTCGTATCCCAATTTTTTTCACCCTATTATAGGCCCAGGTGTCATGGCAATACTCTGTCAAAATTTTGTTCGATTCTGTCCGTCCGTTTAGACTGCAACCTGGCACATACATACTAGGGATGTTGCGAATGTGGAATTTTAGACACCCGCAGATGCGAATGTATTTTTAAGAAATAATTTAGTTGGTTTAAGTAAATAAAACACGGAAAGGTTAATAATTTTTAATAATCTGCCTTATCCTGAGTTTTGCCCGAAAAAAAAAATTCTCCCGAAAATTTGTATTCCGCCCATAGTAAATATGTACATGAAAACCAGAAGTGAAAAGTGAACCGGTTCGGAGAAAATTAAACTCATGATAAGACTGAATGTTTTTTTAGTAGTTGAATTTAAAAATTGGAACATTATACTTAATAAAAACCTTTTGCAGGGTCGTAAATCAAACCTGCGCCATTATATAACTACTCGCTCGAGGCGACAAACTTGAAAAACTTGAAACTTGGCAAAGTTGTAAATTCTTTTCGATTGACTCTGCACTAGTTGAGAGGACTTTCAGTTTGTTTCGCTGAGGGAGAGCGGGAGACCAGGTTTAGAGTTGTGGTCGAGTTAAAGTAGTAGAGGAGGTAGGGATTACCTTTGCGAGTGGTTATGTATCGAGCTCAATGAGCCCGTATGGTGTATAGGTGCACATCAAGGCAACCACGCACTCCATATGCCTGCTATGCGAGAGAGAGAGTGAGATATGCGGGCAGGCTGATGAAGCGGTAGCGCAATATGTGAAGAGATATTTGAGAATTGCATAAAAAATGCATACCCAATTAAGAACCAGCGAATTACTTTTAAACACAAGTGCGTTTGTTTGTTCGCTCACTTGGTTTATACGGGAAATGCAATATAAAAGCGTGCGGATGTTCGATGTTTATTGTTTATGCGGGAAATGCATAAGTCGCTTAAACACAGTTATATCTATTTATTTTTATTGCGGTGCAATACTTACTTTTTGAGAATTTCATCTGGGCTGAAAATGTCCTGACTTTCATCTTCACAATCTAGCATCATGGCACAATCGTTGTTTAAACACCGTTTTGTTTTCGAAAGAATTCTTCATTCTCATTCTTTTGGTTGTTTCGGAATTTGTCACGTCATCAGCTTTTTTCGATTTTAGTTTTTGTAACTCATTTTTAATGCTTTCTTCTGTGACTGGCTAGATATACGGGACCGAAAATAACAGTTATTTTTTCCGAGTTAAATTTGGCCTACTATTTTTTATTCCGAAATAAACGTCCCATCCGGATAATAAAGAAACCGCTTATACTAATTTAATAAGTTTGGTATCATATGAAATAGGACTGAAATAGCTTTTAAACAGAAGTAACAAATGAAGTTTACCACCTCTATTTATATTTTTTTATAACTTAATACTAAAGAAATTTATGTAAATACATATCTGACCCAATGTTTGTTCTATGGTAATTAATTAACATTTTTTATTGAAATATTTTTCAATGTCTAGCTTTCCTCTTTTAGACAATTCAGTTTTAAAGCTATTTAAGTCCTCTTTCATTGGATACCAAACTTGTTTAATTTGGATAAGCGGTTTGTTTATTATCCGGAAAGTACTTTTATTTCGGAATAAAAAATATCTAGCCAAGTTTAACTGGTAAAAAAATAACTGTAATTTTCGGTCCCTTCAATATTCGCATTCGCAAAAGATCCGCATTGATTTTTGCAAATGCGAAAGCGAATGCGAATGTTAAAATTAATGCGGAAGCTCCGCGGTTGCGAATGCGAATGCGAATATTCGCAACAACCCTGATACATAGATAGATTCAAAATTTTATAGTGGCGTATTTATATATAGCTACCTTCAATATACCGTTTTTGCTGCAAACCCTACTCAAAGGACCTCTGGTGTCATCTAATCGATCCTTGATCAAGGTAAATTTTTGTATGGACACTTTTTTCAACAAATCTAAGCATCTGAAGCAATGAAATATTTTTTTTATTCATGAAATGAGGCTGTAAAATTCAATCAATGTAATTTGTATTGGTAGAGGATGGCCAGTCAGCTGTGGTTAGACATAATGCAGCCGCCCCTGCAGCCTGAATTCTTAATCGCAGTAAACTTTTGTAATGAAATTTTCTGACCGATTTTTTTTCGAAAGTACTAATTAAAAAAAAAAAAGAGCACAAGACGAATTCTTATAAGGTGGATATTAAGTCGCCTTGCAGAGCACTGTTACAAGATGGCAACGAATTTAATATTTTCCGAATCTTCAACCAAACGCAAAGCATGATGGGCGACAATTTTAACTAATTAATTTTTTTTCTCCCCTTTTTCGGTGGTTCGCTACTTTGTTTGATAATTAGTAATTTCCCGTTTATTCACCTGCAACAGCTGTTCCGCCTGCAATTGCTGCTCACTTTGCGGTGATTGATCGTCCGGCTCTAATTGCTCCTCTGGTGTGTATCCTTCGCCGTTACCATTAAGAGTCGCATCATGCAAGCGAATGATAGAATGTCGAAGTTTCATATGGCGGCTTAAATTTCCTATGGACCCGCCGTTGAAACTTATTTGCTTTGAACAATGCTTGCACATAGCACGCTTCGAGCCAGAATTCTCGAAATGACTCCATATCAAACTCCTTTTTGCAGGCATCTGAAAATATGCAAACTACTAATTTTAAAACTATTAATAAAAGGAATATTGTGTCTAAAAATACTTGCTATAACTCCAGGCACACCAAAGCTTAGTTTTTAGGGCAATGGAAGAAATGGTGCATAATAAGAGTGTTCAACCACTACATATTAAGCCTCTTCCAGGTACTTCACGATTTGCAGTAATTTACAGGATTCTCTTCCCATCCCACGACATTTTAAATACATATGGTTTATTAATGACGAAAACAGCATTTCCTGTAAATCCTGTAAAACCTGCAGATCTTGAAGTACTTGCAACAGGCTTTTGTATAGAAAGAAGGTATATATGTATAAGCAGTGGCGTAGCCAGGATTTGGCTTTGAGGGGGGATGAAAAAAATTTTCCATCTATAGCTTAAATCTGTTACACACAATGGCTAGAGGCGTCGCCTGAGTGCATTCTTTCATATATTTATGTATGTGCCAGTTTTACCGTTATATATTTTTTATCTACTCGTTCAATCCATGGGGTCGTCATGCTTTATTTAAATTTAAAAAATTAAATTACTATACCGTTTTAAAAATCTGAAAATTCACTGCGGGAAATTTTTTTATTCTCTTTTTATCTTCGCCTTCTCGTTTTTGCCTTTATAAGTTTTGAGAAAAGGTTTTGAACGAACCATTATCACTTTGAAATAATATTTTCGATACTAAATTTTATTAAAACTAAATATTGAAATCAGCTTCATATAGAAACAGTGTCATCGTTAATTAAGAAAGAGCTGTTCTTAAATATCATAACTTTACGATACTCACATATTGGGCCTTATGCATAAAAAGTGAGCTTAAGCTCAGACTCAATTTTTGCACTGAAAGGGTGAGCTCAAGCTCAAGAATTTGTACTGAAAAACGAGTCGGAGCTTAAGCTCACTTTTTATGCATGAGGCCCATTGACTCGATTTGACTATTTATTTTATTATATTTTAATTTGAATTATTTGTTTATAAAAATATAGTTTATTCCTTAACAAACACTAAATGAAAATAAGTTTAATCTTTGAACAAAATTAAAAAAAAAATCGACAAGCTTTCGTAAAAATTAAGAACTTTCTATTTAAATTTTATCTCTTAATATTTTGCAGTTTTTTAGCTCATTCAATTTTAGTGTAATAAAGTGCAAATTTAAAGTAGCTGTGATTTACAGTTGATGTATGGCATATTTTTGACGATGTCGGTAATTTTCTTCCATATTATCTAAGTATGTTCGACGATTTTTTTAATGAAGAAAATGAGCAACGCCTTCATCAAAAAAAAAAAA